TGCGACTTATCGGAAAATTTAGTACTCATTTTGTACTATTTTGTACCACAAATAATAATTTTGTACCCCGTGCCATTTAAGAAAAAATCGTGGCGCTGCCAACTTCATATTAAGCTAGCAAAACCAAAAAAAAATTATATACACTCACCCGAAAAAAAAGCGGTACACTGAAAATGTGGGAAAAATTCATCAAATTTCAACTGACGATAACTTCGTAAATAATAAAGATAGAAAGTTCTATAAAATATGGAAATGAAGCTAAAAATCTCTACTTTAAGAATCAATTTATTTCAATGTTGCAAAATAAATTTATTGAAAACGGCGGATGACAAAGCGCGAGCATGCAAAATTGAAAAATAATGGTTCGAGTTTGCGACGGTGCACGGTATAAACAAAAAATTGTAGCTTATTGGGATCAAAAGCGTACGAAAGTACAGAGTCTCCTCTTTAAAATGCTTTTTTATGCATCTCGATACGATGATTTTTCGCCGAGAGATTCGCATTTGAAGAAAAAGGCAGATTCTTACTTCAAATGCGAATCTCTCAGCGAAAAATCATCGTATCGAGATGCATAAAAAAGCATTTTAAAGAGGAGACTCTGTACTTTCGTACGCTTTTGATCCCAATAAGCTACAATTTTTTGTTTATACCGTGCACCGTCGCAAACTCGAACCATTATTTTTCAATCAATTGTTTTGCATCCGAAGGAGATGTCTGCAGATCTTTTGTGATTTCTTCGCCCTGACTTTTTGTTTATGCTCGACCGCACATTGCGAGAAGAGTGCTTGATTTCTCTTGATCTTTTTCTTTCGAGACGCGTTACTTATTCGTACGACTTCGTCAAAGTAAACAATAATTAATCTTTTCGCATTGAAATTATTGGTCAATTATGGCGACGATAAGTCCTGAAAAAGCTGCTCAAGTTGTAGCGTTAATTGAAGATGGGAGAAGTCGAAGGTACGTTGCTGAGGCACTTGATTTATCAGTGTCAATCGTGCAACGTGCTTATGCTAGGTACTTGGAGACTAATTCTGTCCAAAGAAGACCTGGTTCGGGACGTCCTCGTTGTACGAATGAAAACGATGACCGATTTATTGTTTTAAATTCATTAAGAGACAGACATCGAACGGCTGTTCAAATTCGAAACAATTTAAGAGATGTCCGCGAATGTAATGTATCCGTTGACACTATTCGAAACAGATTAGCGGAACACGGTCTTTTTCCGCGCAGGCCAGCAAATGTACCTTCGCTTATGCGTCGCCATCGCGTAACTCGACTCAATTTTGCTGTCGAGCATGCAGGCTGGACATATGCAGAATGGAGTACCGTTCTTTTTAGCGACGAATCTCGTTTTTGTCTGTATTCTTCAGACGGACGAGAACGAGTATACCGTCGCGTTGGAGAACGATTTGCAGACTGTACTGTAAGTGAGAGGCCTAGAAGTAAGAATCTGCCTTTTTCTTCAAATGCGAATCTCTCGGCGAAAAATCATCGTATCGAGATGCATAAAAAAGCATTTTAAAGAGGAGACTCTGTACTTTCGTACGCTTTTGATCCCAATAAGCTACAATTTTTTGTTTATACCGTGCACCGTCGCAAACTCGAACCATTATTTTTCAATTTTGCATGCTCGCGCTTTGTCATCCGCCATTTTCAATAAATTTATTTTGCAACATTGAAATAAATTGATTCTTAAAGTAGAGATTTTTAGCTTCATTTCCATATTTTATAGAACTTTCTATCTTTATTATTTACGAAGTTATCGTCAGTTGAAATTTGATGAATTTTTCCCACATTTTCAGTGTACCGCTTTTTTTTCGGGTGAGTGTATATCACTAAGAAGCGCAATTTGCCAGCGATACCCACATGCGTATCGTGATGGATTTCCACGAACCTAATGGCACAGTCGCACGGTGATCGATTACACGTATTAAGTTCGACATCGTTCGCGCTGTTACATATTTACATTCGTGCCCGACGATAACGCATCACCGATAGCACATCACGAGCGGCAGCCAGTTCACTTAATCTTTTCTGCGTAGCTCCGAAATAGGATACGCCGGCTCACCGCCGAGAGAGCTGCTCACAAGGGGACGGAGCATAGACTCCGTGGACAGGCCTTTTCATCCCAGCGACTGGGTGGACGTTAATCTAGAAGTGCCCAGCCCGCCGAGAGCAAGCTCGGTTCTCACGAATTCAACCGTCAACACTAGTCTGCACCCGGCTACTACACCTACGTCCAGCTGTAAGCTCATAATTTATCGTCAAATCGTACAACAGTGGATCGTTAAAGTACAAACCAAAAGTGCACGATGCGCAACAAAAGGAAATTATGATGTAAAATGCAGAGTGTATTAAGAAAAGATGAAAAATATTTAATTCCTTGATGAATAATTTATAAAAAATAGTATGTTTTACAAAGCAAAGGTACGCGATAAAATTTAATATTGAAATTGCTCGATAATTTCGCACAAATTTGCTGGTCGCTTATGGCAGTTGAGTCGTGGATTTTCTATCACCTCGTATAGAATCATATTTCAAGTACCCGGTTATGAAGTCATAATAGGAGCACGAGCGAAGCTGCAAATTCAACCGTCAGCACGTGGGGACTTCTTTTCGCTCTATTTCTTGTTCAAGCATAAGCCCATATAATTTATCGCTATACTATATAAATGTTTGACAAACCGCGATAATAGCGATTTTCGCTAAATTATTTAAAGTCGTTAAAGTCAATAAAATGTGCATGTTTTGCGAGCGTTATTGCAACGGTGGCATGTAGAGATATTGAAGATAATTAAATACATACGAACCATTTGTCCGGACAAATGTGTTTACCATCGTTACAGGTTCCAATCCAAAGGGCGTCACTCCCGTGCCACCTCCGAGACGAAGAAAAAGAAACAGGGGCAGACCATTGCCACCGAAACCGGATGAGATTCCTGAGAGCGCAACCAACAATTTAAGACACGGCGATACGAGCGAGGAACCGTTATATTTGTCGGTCAAGTCATTAAAAACGAGTCGTGATGATCAGGACGGTAACGTCGAGATGCGGGGAACGGAGAGGGAAGATCCGAAGCCCGAAGGGCGGAGAACGAAGGAGATTTTCGAGCACAAGGTGAATCAGCATATTGCAATTAATGTTATTCGTTTTTTTTTTCATCTTGTTAGCCAATCTAAGCATTTCAACCGTACAATCTTAATAAACAAAATCATTAATAAATTGATTTAGTTTTGCACTATCCAACTTATATATAATATATAACCTGCTCGCTAGGAATTATGTTAATTCTCCAATTCTCCGTTCTATTCAAGTTGAATGACAAAAGTAATGATTTCCTCCGGCAGGTTAACGGCACTGGAAGGATAATATCCAGCGACGTGGTTTCCGGTAAGAGAACATTCGTCGACAAGAAAACTTCGAGGACTTCGGAATCGAGCCATCATCACAGGAAAGTTCTCGAGAACGAGGAATACGAGAGGTTCACCCAGAGTCAGTCGATCAAGGACTCTTCGACTCCTAATCGCCAGGACAGACGGAAGTCGAAGGAGCTCGAGAAGCGGATCAGGGATTCCTCGAGGGACGACGATAGACCGGAAGTAAATACAAGGACGAAGAACTACAGCACGGTTAGCTTGCCGAATTACGATGAGTTGGACGTGGCTAGGCATTCTGCAAAAGGCACGGCGAAGAACGAGAGAGGCGCAGGGGAGAAAATGAAGCCGAAGAGACCCGTCAGAAGCAGCACCGGTTCGCTTCCGGTCGAATCTTTCCTGTCGCCCTTCTCCGAGGTTCAGTATAATAATTCCCCGTCATTTCATTTCACTGATCAGACGCGAAATTTCTGAAATTCTCTCACAAATTGCGACTTGATAAAATTATTCCTTTATAATAATAAAATTTTTATCTCTTAAAATATTATATTACGCGCTTCAAGAATTATTAAGAAGAATTTTGTTGACATTACGCTGCTACATGGCATCGAAATCTAAAAACACGAAGGACCAGAGTTAAATTCTTTTCCCGAAGCTTTTATCACGTATACAAATCTGCATCAGCGCGGAGAGTTAGAACTGTAGTAACGATTGCACTCGTATTATTCTTGATTGCAGAAAACTAGCGTACGTCTCGAGGACTACATCCCGCGACGCGGTAGCATCGAGCACCTGTCGCCGTATCAGGTATTGGGGAAGCTGGGCTCCAGCGAGAACGAGGTCACTGGCGGCGGATTCATGAAGTACGATCCGAGTAAATTGGAGGATTGGGACCTCAGCGACATCAGTAATTGCAACTCGAATCGGCGTCTCTCCGCCGAGGTACGTTTACAATGCGACTCGCGTTGAAATCGATATTAAGCTGACGCCGTGATACTGTTTTTCCAATGAAGAAACTGAAACGTACAAGAAACGTCAAATTTTCACTCTTCGAAGCAGAGTGGATTTTAAATAATTGTAAAATTATTTTATTTTCGTAAAATCGTTGCGATTAAAAAAAGTAATAAAATTTCCTAATGCACAAAAGTTAATTCACATATGCTTTCTGTAACGAATTTAAAAATATTTTATTTGCATTAATTCATATATTTCAAATCTAAACTCTAGAATTTGTCGCGAAATGGAACTCATAACGCGGAAAGAGAACTTTCTAAGGGTTTAGATGTTGTCGACTACTCGCAAAACGCCGAGACCGGAGAAGCTGAGACGACTGAAGTTGAAATCTCATGCGTCCGTCGAGACATAAGTTCATCGTTGGAAAAACCTGAATTTTTCGGCAAGGCAGCATCGCCGATGCTTGATTTCGATAAAGAATCGAAGTATTCTGACCTTGCAGATCAAAACAGGTATAGAAGTGAACATATTTCCTTTGAAAAATTATTTTAGAAAATTGGTACATAATACAATAAATAATATTGTTCATTTCAGATCACTAAGATATTTTGATCCTCCTAAAATGTCGGAGATCTGTCAAGTATCGCCGACTTGTGAATTAGCGACGTCGCCAGTGCGTAGAGAGCCATTCTTTTTGAACGAAGAACTTCAACGCTCGGCTTTGGGTAAATATCATAAACTATAGTAACTGAAAAATCGGGTGCATGCATGTAAAAATATTATCTATGATACGTACATTAATATTATCTATAAATCTTCAAATTTATTTGATCGATACTGCAAAAAATTTGTCTATAATTTTTTTCAAAATCTTTGCTATAAAAAATGAAATCGTTATGGAATTCTATTGTAATCCGTCCTAAAGTTGTATAAAATGTCAATGGATCGCGGAAGAAGTGACGATGAGTGAAATTCCTCTCGCTATTTACAAGAAATTGTCGACTATGTAAACCGAATATACGTCCGCAACCGCAACCGCGCGCGCGCACCTTCCACTCCCCACGTACTTATCCGCTCTTGGATTCTATCCTGGTCGGTTGGGTAATCGTCTGGAGTGTAGAAGGTACCCAACTATTCGCGTACGTGACTAGTTAAACCGCGGACGTTCCATTTGGTAGATACGATCGGAGGGTCCTGCAGGAACGGCGCCGTCGTCCGGGAATCCGATCGATCCGACCAATCGAGGCTGATCTTCGGTCGTAGTTTATCGAACGAGAGCGAACCCTATGACGATCCGTACGAGTCGAAAGACTTGCATGCACATTTGGACGTAACGAACAAGTTAATTAGAACGATATCAGAGGAGTCGCTGCCGCGGGAGATGTTGGAGGGAGCGGATGAGGAGATCGACTTCTTCGACGAGAAGCTGGCTAAAGATACGACGAATAAATTGAAAAAGAATTGCCAGGATCAGCAGGTAAGAACGCCGCCGCCGAGCCCGGAGCCGAAGATCAAAGCTCAGATCGTGGACAACGATCATTCGACCTTGCTGAAGGTTCTGAATGACGAAGCGGCCGACGAAAGCAATCTCAGCTCGATGACGCCGAGTCTCACCGAGCTGGAGGTAGCGCTTTCGGATATGTTGGAGAAGGAGGATCAGCCCGAAGAAACTACGAAACAAGAGAAATCAGATGGAGACTGCAAACAGAATCCTAGCGAAAAGCTTCTCGAACCGAATATCGTACCCGTTGAAAAGCACAGCGCGATCGACAGAAGCGCGACAGATCGACATCGCTCAGCGAACGATGACATTCTAGTCGATAGAGCGCCTGAACACAAGACACATCAGTTGTCCGTATCTTTGGAGCAGATTCTGAGCAACTCGGAGCCGATACCGAAGCAAAGAAAAGTGTCCTTTTGCGCTTGGGAAGAAAAGGTCATGACGGATGTCGATTTGAAAAACGAAGAATCCGAAGCGCCTGAAAGTACAAGCAAGCTGACAAGTCCTGATTCCAAAGATTCCATCATCAAGTCAGAATTAGAATCAAGCTCTGACTTTCTTGAGAACATTATAACTAGTATAAAAGATACAAAGCTCATCGAAGAAGCGACCGAGGAAGCTAGCAAGCTGTTTCAAAATTTAGAAGACATAGCGGTGGATTTGGGACAAATTCCAACGCCCCCGCGAAGAAAGAATAAGAGTTTAGGTGCTACAAAGGAGTCAGTCAGAACTATAGAGAATTATCCCGAAGATCCCGATCCTCGTCCCAACGACAGACTCATTTAATAATTTTAGTTTGCGCGATCTCGTAATTATTCTGCTATTATGTGATCATATAGCGATATAACGTAATCTTCAAAATGTTTTGTGCCACACAAATCGTTTAATATGTTTAATCCATTAATTCGTAATCATGTATTTTATAGATTTATAATTATCGGCATGTAATTAATAAAAAATAATAAAGAAAATAAATATATTTTTTAATATATCAAATGTAATGTTAGAAAATTATGGATGTAACTTTTTAATTGTGTTGAAAATAGATTGAAAAATTGACTTTATCAAAAAGTGACGACAGAATCGATGAATGACTTTATTTTTAAAGTGGATAAAAATTGTATACATAATATAACAAAGGTAAATCAAGTTCTAAAAACAAGTAGCGCACTTTATCCGATAGGTAAAACGTTAAAAAAAAAATGCGAAGTTTTTCTGATCGATGATAAACAATACCGGTTGCTTTATAAAAAAAGACTGGGGTTTGTGAAAAATATTTTCGATGTAGCGCAAAAGAAATCAAGTTGTTCCGTAGATCATGGAGAGGCAAATGTTTTCCTATGTAAACGTAACAGAAAGAACAAATAACCAGATCTCTGCAAATTCTTGGCAAATGTACACGCGTTATATTGATGTTGAATATTTTCCTTCGCCATTTCCCTACGTATGGTTGTTAAGCATGTTTATATAATCTTGAAAAAGTCACGAAAAAATGCCCTCTTTTCTTAAATAAACCTGCCTTTCTCTAATTTAGTATGTTGAAAATTACAAAATTTTATTAATTATTAACATTCCTCCACAGCTCTATTTAGAGCATTACTTATTGACGTTTATTATTTTATTATATAAATTATGTTATAATTTTTGTTTTGTAGATGTTATTTGAATTTTTCATTGTTTTCTCATTCATCATAAATTTTATGATACTTAATCGCTTCTTATTGTTAAGTAAATAAGCAAATATTTTATTAACAAAGTTGTTATAAATTCTAGAGAAACGTTCATCAAGATACCATTACATTGACATATTTGATATAAGTTGTCCGCCAGTTTTTAATCTTCGCCGTCGGCATGCAGGACATGATCTGCAAGAAAAAGTTGCTAAAGAAGAAATAAGAAAATGCGGATCGCGAAAGAAGAGAACGAAGTTTCTCATTATAAGAAAGCTTTGTGCGAAGACTCCAGTCACACCTTAATCTCGTTCACGTTTTGAGGAACTTCTTGTAACATACTGTACATATAGCAAGCATCAACTTCGTAAAAAGTTACCTAACAATTATTGTTGTATAGTCGACACACTGTGCAAGCTTAAACTTTAGAGTAAACAAAATAAAAAATGATGCAATGGCTTTCATTATTTCCCTTTATCATTGTATTCCAAAGATCCAATTATTTATTTTACAAAAATATATATTTCCTTCAATATATATATTCGTAAAAATATCTGAAACACTTGTTTTAAATGATGTACTTAGTATCATGTTTTTCTATTAATTTCACCAAAATTTTAATGACAAAATAATTATATATCTGCAATAAACACAGTTTGTATTAATTACTAAATATTGTTTGTAGAAAACTTCGAAACTTTACACTTGTATTAGTTATGCTTCTGTTATTATTAGCGTTATTATTAGTTCTAATACGATAGTTAGCGTCGATGGTTCGAGCTTCCCCCAATATCGAGAAGAAACTCTATGCGGAGAAGATTGATTTTTCTTCTGCGTCATTATTTCATTGGTTGGCTGTCGAACCATGTTTAAGGTGTATCGTTTTCCCTTTCGCTACAAACAGGTATCCGCTTACTCATTACCTTTTTAATTATCTTTGGCTGGCGGAACCTTTCTATCGTAGTGTGTTTAACGGGCTGTTTTAATTATTTTAAGAGCTCCCCTAATATTACCGTGGAGAAACTTTCAAAATATAGACGTGTGTATGTGCACAATATATGTAATTATTAAAAACGCGTTTCATATCACAATAAAGAATAAGAAGATAAGTTTTAAAAAATACAAGACATTTGTGATTTCGGATTGTTGATTGCGACAAGCTAAAAGTCGAGATGTGCAATGTCGTGATCTATACTTTTAGGAATTCCATGTCACGAGTTCCACGAGTGGTTTGAAAAGTTTAAAGCTTTCGAGAGACGACAAATCTGGGAAAACTGTGGTCTGATCGCTCTTCGTGTTTCAGGGCGATTCCGATGTGGTTTGAAATTAGCACGAATGGATTATAAGATCTGGCTGTTCGTGACACTTCTATTAGTGGCGTAGAAAGAAGATGAAGGAAAATTTGCCTCTCCTTCTCTTGCTCTCTCTATCTCTCCTTCACTTTTCTCCTTCTTTCATCATAAAGTCAGTGCGCGTGCAGCCTGCTTCCTCCTAACGTGATGCATCTTGCAAGAACTCATTTTCATTGCGCTTCTCTCGGTTTGCATTCTCCGGGATAATGCTACAAGCTATTAACCCAATTTTTTGTATATTTTTGCATTAGGGACATTTTTACATGAGTGACATAATAAGAGAGATATGAGAGTGAGAAATGTAAAAAAAAAAATGGAAAATTGCGATGAGAAAAAAATTCGTTATAACGAAAGACTCTATATGTCAACAAATATTGATAAAAATAAATCGAAGCTTTATTCTTTCTTCGAGATCAATGATAACTCATGGCAAAAGTAACAATCTGACCATCCATTCAGAGTTTATACAAACGGCTAGCGTTGCTCCGAGAAGATGCAATTTAAAAGCCATCGTAAAATATTTTTTTACGATTTACGGCGGATACACAACCAACACGATACGCGCCAAAGTCAATTGCCACGATAAGGACGAGACAATGTGACACTTTGTCGAGGGGACTTAAGCTTAATCTCCAACGAGGTAAGTCCGTCTTAGAATGTACTTAGAGTAAGGTGCAGTCCAAGTGGAGACTCTCCGAGTAAGTATCTTACGGAATATTTGGTATCGCGTTGCTTCCTAACGGATAACCCATGTTTCTAAATATGCAAAAACTGTGGCAGTCAGCCGGAAAAATTTGCATGACAATGCGGTAAAATCATTCTCTCCAAATTTGCATTGGATTTGAAAATAATTGCAAGAGTTCGAAAAGGAAAGAAACTTCGGAAACATAAATCGGTCGATGTACGGAAAGAGCACGTCTGATAAAATTGGACCCTGTCCAATATAAAATTGTATTTTAAAATTTAAGCACCACCAAAATATCTAAGAGAATATTATTGAACCGGAAGCGTCTAACAAAATTCAATGTTATGGTCATATGATCATGTCATCAAAGCATCGTAATATCGAAAATCACTTATCAGAATCGATATCGCCCTCCGACCGGAGATACAATTTCTGTATAATCAAATGTGCGTCTAAGACAGTAAAAGAACACGTCGATTTGCATCCTTTAGAATTAAGATTTCGCTGTATAGAGATTTTTGTTCCCTTCAGATTATCGCAAATTGCTCGATAGAACTTTGAATCTCCGGCGGCGCCACCGAGGTGTATCTCGCGCATAAAAGGAGTTAAGCAAGCAGCACGAGTCAGCTTTAAGCGGTTGGATTTATGGACTCTAACAACTATTTAGATAGGCGGGAATAGAGAGCCCCGGCAATCTCGGTTTTTGTTCCGGCAATAGGCATCGGTGACTTCTATTTGGCTTACTATATTTGGTACACGAAGCGAGGTAGATAAACGGGAATATCCGACCTCGGAAAATATTCGGCGCAGCGAAACGATGGAATCCGCTCAATCCGAGCGTTTCGGTCGGCGCGACGCAGTATTTTGGCTTAATTAGTTTTTCGTCCGCGGATAATCCGTGGCTGCGGCTATTTGTCACCGAAGCCCCGAAGTTTACGCTCTCGGAGAATTAAGGCACCCCGGGAAGAGGGGAGAGCGAGCGTGGTTCGGGCCAACGAGATTAGGGCGATATTTAAACGAGGAGGAGCATTTCCGACGCCCCCCCTCGAGGCTTCTGTCGTAAGTCCCGACTCAAGGGAAGTTCACGGAGGATTCGTTTTATCGTTCGCCGTATAATTTGAGGATGTCGCCGGCCAAGAAACTACCGAAGTGGCTTAAATCTCTCGGCCGGGCGCTGGATTTCCGATAAGACAACTTTCGAATTCTTGTTTACCGGTCACTCAAATAGAATGTCACGTATTTCACTTATCGTGTCCTCTAATATAGTCTCGTATAAATGCAGTTTAGAAATAACACAGTTATTCAACTAATCTTCAATCAAATGACAATTACGTTGTAGTTTAGTGAATAACCTCAATCATATGTAATTATCAGGATTCTCGTAAATGTATGTATAGCTACTATAATTTCTTGGTCATTGAAATTACAATAAATTAAAGACGTTAAATCATGACAGTCTATCATATATGTATATTGTATATATTCGATCAATTTATTGGGCAAATAACTGAGATTTTAGGGGAACCAAACTATTTCAATAAGCATTTGATGATATAGTACACATCGTCTTATATAAACCATAAAGATTTGATATAAGTTTGCAGTAGTCTACATGCCGATGGTAAAGAAAAGGAAAACACAAATGCGCCTTTAGCAGCTTCCAAGTATTAAACTGCTCGTAAAAGAGCTTTTACGCGATCAGACTTTCGCAATGAAACTTTGAGTCTCAGAATCGATCCATGTCACTGGAAAAAGTCCTCGTAAAGTTCTGCCCAAATAATTTCAAAAAAGTGCTCTTTTTTTTCCTAGAAGAGAATCTCATTTACGAGATTGCGAGAAGCTTGATAAAAAATAAAGTTTAATTTGAAAAATTTTATTCAAAGTCTTATAAATGAATTTTCTACAGATTCTCAAATAATTAATAATGATTATATTACCATTCTGATTTTGTTTTGTGATATCTGATATTACTTATTCCATAAATAAAAAATATGTTAAAAGCAAAATATTTTTTGATAGAAATATTAACAAGATTAGAATTTCGTAGCAAAATTATTAAAATTTAGCTTATATATATATTAAATTTAATAACAGTCTTATATAATCGTAATTAAAAAAAATTATACATATAACACGATAGTTAATAAGTAAATATTTGAGAACAGTTTTAAAATATTAAAGCAGATTGTTGGTATTGATCGTCAAACGTATTGATCGCTGTCAGTAATATTTTGTGAGCGAA